ACACTGCCTTTGCCGGTCCCAAGCTCGGATGTGAAAATGTGGAGGGAGTTTGTTTCTGTCTGTTTCTTGTGTGCAAGTGCTACACTGTGTGTGTGACTGTGTCTGATCGTGTGTGGCTTGACTCTCAGTGTGCGTGTGGCTTGTATGCTTTGCTGAATGATTGGTTGTTGTGGCTTAACACTGCCTTTGCCGGTCCCAAGATCGGATGTGAAAATGTGGAGGGAGTCTGTTTCTGTTTGTTTCTTGTGTGCAAGTGCTACACTGTGTGTGTGATGTGCCCATATCTATGTCTGTTTCTTTGTCTTTTTTGCGCGCGTGTGTGTGCGTGATGGTGTGGCCTGTATGCTTTGCTGAATTATTGGTGTTGAATAACTTGTATTTTGTATTGTTGTGGTTTAACACTACCTTTACCGGTCCCAAGCCCGGATGCAAAAATGTGGAGGGAGCCGCTGTTACCTCCTTTGTATTGTTTGCCCTAGAAGTGTGGATAGAAATTACTCCGTACTAACTGAATAGTGAATCTTCACATAGTATCGTGGCACATGATTCAAGCACTGAAATGCATCATTCCTTGCTATGAAAAATCTAGCAATTATAATTGTTGTTAGAGTTTGTTCCGTCTCCTAAACTAATCTTGCTGGTTTCTTAAATCTTATCAGCATCGATGATCTTTTCTGCTAATAATCAGTCATCTGCTTTTGTTATTTGGCTTTAGGAAATTAATCTTGCTGGTTTCTTAAATCTTGTCAGCACTGATGATCTTTTCTGCTAATAATCAGTCATCTGCTTTTGTTATTTGGCTTTAGGTTGAATTTTATGGTTGTCTGATCATGCTCGAATATCAGCGTCGTAGATGTCGCTCATTTGTTCTAGGGAAAGCCTTATACACAAAAACGTACCAGTAGCGCGTGCCAAAAAGAATCGCTACTACTACTTACCACTAGCTCCCGGAAAATAAACGCGCTGCAGCTAAGATTATAGCAGTAGGGCGCCAGGCGAAAGAAGCGCTACTACTATAATTCTCACACTGTTCTCCGCAGGCTAGGAATAGTAGCATCGAGCTCACGGAAAGTGTGCTGCTGCTAATACACGGAAAGCGCTACTGGTAATGAAATTAAAATAGAATAGAGAACATATACAAAAGTAAATGAAAGTGAAAGAAATAAAAAAAGAGGAAAGGAAAAAAGAAAAATGTGAAGGAAAATAAAATAGAAATAAAAAAGGAGAAAGGCGTAGCAGCAACGCGCTTTCAGTACAAGCGCTATAGCTAACATATCAATATCAGTAGCGCGTTCTATTTGCCTGCGCTATAGTTATGTTAGCTATAGCTAACATATCAATAGCGCGTTCTATTTGCCCGCGCTATAGCTATGTTAGCTATAGCTAATGTAGCAGTGACGCTTTTCTGCAAACGAGCTACTGCTGTTTTTGACTTAACCGCGCGGTTCTTCTTCCCTGGCCACTTCCCCCAAATCTCACCTCGAACTGCTGTCGCCGCCGTTGTCGCCCTGCATTGCTGTCGGTCGCCGCGTGCTCTCCCGTCGCCCGACCCCGACCTTGACCTTGACGCCGACCCCGACCCTGACCTCGACCTTGACACCGACCTCGGCCGACCTCTACGCCGCATGCCCCTCCCTCGGCCGCTCCCTAACTCCGCCAGTGCCCGAGGTGAGCATGCGTACACCTCCTCCTCCTCCTCTCCTACCTCTGCCTAGCTAGGGTTCCTAGGGTTCATCAAATTTTAGGGTTCATCTAATTAGTTAGGGTTCATCAAATTAGCTACTACTTGTAGATGCTTAAGTAGTTATAAAGTTGTTGTGCACCCAATGTAGTTAAGTAAATATAATTGTAAACTTGATGTTAATTAGGGCAGTAGTTGTAGATGCTTAAGTAGTTTTTAGGACAAATTCCTATGGTTCATCAATGGTGCTTAAGTAGTTGTAGATGGTTAAGTACCTAGCTAGGGTTCATCTAATTAGTTAGTACTTGTAGATGCTTAAGAACTAGGGCAGTAGGGTTTAACTAGATGTTAATTAGGCAGTAGTGTTTAGTTTAGAGAAAAATTCAATATAGTTTTTTATTGTTTTTTAGTAAGTGTTTAATAGAATTAGTAAGAAAATTAATAGAACTAGTTGAACTAGTTTATTTTTAGTAAGAACTAGTTGAATTAATAGAACTAGTTTATTTTTAGTAAGAAAATTAATACAATTAGTTGAACTAGTTTATTTTTAGTAAGAGCTAGTTGAATTAATAGAACTAGTTTTTTTAGTAAGAAAATTAATAGAACTAGTTGAACTAGTTTATTTTTAGTAAGAACTAGTTTATTTTTATTTATAGTAAATGCTTAGTTGAACTAGTGAATTAATACAACTATTTTATTTTTAGTACGAAAATCAATAGAACTAATTTATTTTTTTAGTAAAGCAATTATTCGCGCATCAACGCCGATGATGCCTATCCCGCATCCTCATCGTCGACTCGGCGGAGGAGGCCTGCTTGATCAGAGGGGCCATGTCCGGGACTGGGCTCCGTCGGGCTGGTACTAGGATGTGCTACCTTCCGGGAGGCGCAGCTTGGTGAGGAGCCAGCCTGTCATTGGCCCGAGCCTTCTTTGGTGGCAGTCGTGTGGGCCAGTGACGGTGCAGAGGTTTGAGGACCTCGTGGAGGTGGCACATCACCGTGTCAGCGAGGAGGACGAGCACGTCCGTCACTACATGGTTGCGTTGGAGGGCAGGTTCTCCAATACCTGGCAGGTTCTTCAGGGATCTCACTGGAGCTATGATCCTGTGATGGTTTGTTCTCTTTGGGTGTCCATCGCTCGGGCCGATACCCGTTGTTCGCTAGGGTTTTAGCTGTATTAGTGAGGTTATATGTATGATACTATTCGAGATGTATTAGTGATAATATTCGACGATGTACGGACGCAAGAGATGATTTAGTTTTGCTTATTGAATGCTGCTAATTTGAATACTAATTTGTTTTGCTTATTGAATACTCAAATTGGAGAACTACTTCTATTTTGAATGCTCAAATTGGAGAGCACTATTTTGTTTATGCAGCCAAATCTCCATGTCGTTGTCGCCGTCGTCCTCGTCACAGACCCCCTCCGACCTCGAGGTGAGACTAGCCAAATCTCCATGTCAATATGAGTCCTATAAGATATTTTGAAATGTTTTTGTTCATATTTTCAACCATTGAAATGCAATGACCATCAAGTTTGAATGCAATGACCATCAAGTTTGAATGCAAATAGGATATGTGCTTGCCCAAGTGGCC